CGTTCACACACAGAAGAAGGCAATGGCAACCCACTTCTGGATCATCTGCCAAGAACGTATATGAACAGGTCCCAGTCCGAGAAAAGGATGGAAGGATCCTGTTCATATGGACCTGTCGTCAGACAGAACACTAAATAAATAATAATAAATAATTATATGAGGTGTGACCTGAAGTTAATCTGAGGTACATCGTTGTTGATTCACGCCCCTAAATCTCCTTCAGGTCAGCTTTGAGAAGACGATTTAAGTAGAAAGATTTGACAGCATTTAAAGTTTGGCTTTGTTTCTATAACCTCTATTGGAATGTACGACCTAGAGACAACATTAGTGCTTCGCCTGGTGTTTTGCCTTCAAGCCAGTCACTAAGGATAAAGTAATTTTTACGTAAGACGATTTGGTTTTCTTGTATTTTGACGTGTAGTTCTTCGTGCGTCCAATTTTGAAAATAAATCTGGTTATTGCAAATAACACAATAGAAGTGTTATTATAGACCTAGTTTTAGATGGAAATATAATATTAAAATTAATTTCAAAGAAACAATGTGTAGCTTCGGGCTGGATTAATCTAGTTGAGAACTGGTTTTCATGAACACGGTAATGAAAATTTGGTTTTGCCATGCCATGTTAGTATCAGACTATACCATGTGAACATTTTCCCCATAGCACTTCTGTGCCACCATACGCATGCATTGCATAGGCTATAAATTCTACATTTAATAAATTTCTTTAACGAAAATAATAAATACACGCGTGTTGTTTGTGTTTACTAACTGCAGCACCAGAGTGCAGGCCTGTCGCTTATTTGCATGTATGCCAACTTGTTGTGTATTGGAACTACATTAATATGCAAAATAATGAAAAACGATCTAGTATATGTGTGTAAACAGGGGTGTGGGGGAACGGGGTGTCAGCTGCGATAACTCTCACTATTTTGTTTTTAACCATGTGATAACGCTTGCAACAACAATCTGATCCAACTCATCCCTTTTTTTTCACAAACGTTCTCAAACACCCCCCCCTCCCCCACGATATCCTCGAACACCTCAACTCATATAATATGTACAGTCATGCACATAATACGTACACCACACAGAGCCAATCAATTTTCTCACGATGGCCTTTTTTACGGGATATATTTAGAATTTCGTTATGAGATGGCAGCATGTGGCTAACCTCGCCAGCTTTTAAAACACACCACGCTATTTGCTTTTAAAAATGTGTATAAAATTAATTTTCAATCCAGCACAACCATCGTTACTTAACTACTGCCTTTAATTTAACTGTTTATGTTAATAACAATAACATAATAATAATAATATACGTTTACTAGTGTTCATGATGGATTTCTGTGTTTGTGTGTGTCTTATGAAAAAGTTTGTATCCACCACAAACAAATACGGCGTTAAAACCGAAAACATTGTCTTCAAACATCAAAGCTGTGAAAACCTCAAACCTCGTTTAAAACAGAAGCTAATATTTTTTTTCGCTTTCGACACACTTTCCTTCTTCCTACAAAAATTCTTCTTATTAATATTTTCATATTTGCGTATTACTCGAACCTCACATAACACGTCTCTCTTTACGGAGCACGGCAAAGCACCTAATTGTAGTGTTGGCGTGGAACGAAAATTGTAAACACAGAAGGAACGGTCAGAGAGGCGGAAATACCAACAGTTGGTCGAAACCAAAGACGCGGGGTCACCGGGGGGGTGGTGGGGGTGGAATCAGACGCAAAGTATTTGTAACATTCCTAGCAGTGGACTTGCCTTATATCTTCTCTTTGTGCCTAGTTGGTTCTGCTGTTTTCTGTGAAGGGATCTCGCGGTATGTATTGTTGTTATCTGCAACATAAGCAGTAATGTATATGTAACTGGAATGTTCACAGAGGAAGGTATGTGGCCCTCATATTGTTTAAGGCAGTTTCATAACTTTAACCTTAATTGTACAATGCTGGGTGGTGGGGGTTATAACGCCCAGTCCCTGCTTGTTAAGATGGAATAAAATTAATTATATCATACAGACTTAACCCTTTCCACACGAACATCTCTGTTTTCCTTTAGGGCCCCGGTGCAAGTCCTGTCATGACTACAAACTCTTATAATTGGTCTGAAAAGAGCTTTCTTAAATTCCCTTCGTTCTTTTGTTCTATTTTAATATTTTTAAAAATATATATTTTATGTTCCAGGCTTCAAATATAAACTTTCAGGCACAAACGTTCGCAAGATGCCTGTTGAAATATTAGGCAACTCGTTACGAGTTTAATGTAACGTTTATATTACATGGGAAAATATCTAGTGTAGGCTCCCAATACAACAAATTTAATCCAAGACTGCTACAAAAATTCGGAGATTTAATAAACGTCCCGACCAAGAACAAGATGTCACCATAATGTGTTAATTTTAAGCATTTTGTGAAAATAATTTATGAAATTAGCCAGCGCCTCACAATCGTTTGTTCTGGATAAAAAAAAATAGTTTAGTCGTTACAGACCGACGATTTGAAGTGACGTAACTTTAGTCAAAAAAGAGAGATTTCGCGTAAGTTACAAATATAAACTATTTTAATTTTAAACGGTACTGAAGATGGTGTGATCCTGATGAATTATTGCACTAAAACACTGTATACCATAAGAAATAAATCAACATTACTCTCACGGAATCCCGGTGTCTGCACATTTTTTTGTAATAATTGTCCACTGGAATTAACTAAATCTGCTTTAAATGCTCGCCAATTGGTTCAAATCCTGATTTATTGTTACATGCAATGTTCTGTTCAAAATCTCGATCCCAGACTTCACCAACAGACCTCACAGACGTGGTCATTTTCCGGTAGCTCTGCTGCGTCATCACAGAATCGACCGTGGGCAGGGAGTGTCTCTTCGAACTAGCTGCATGCGAATACGAGGGAGAACCGGGGGACGATTTACCCTTTCAGCAGTTCTATCCCTACACCTTCTCTTCTTATCTCCCAGTTGTTATAGACATCCTATTCAGTGCGGATAATAAAGCAGAAGGCAAACGGGGTACAGGGGTAGCAATTAGAATGACCATGTGTCACAGATAATCGCAAAGGTTCCGACGGCCGGGGCTCGTTTCTCGTCTGAGACATTATTTATTTTGCCTGGATTGCATTTACGATAATTGAACGACGTTTTGAACTGGTACTATCATGGTCGCATAACTCAGATATAAATTTCACCAGGAAAGGCAAATAGGTGAACATTTTTAAGTATGCGTTTGCATCCTATTCCAACAATAGTCTGGAGAGACTGAGGAAAACCTTTCAAATCTGATTTACGATAATCAGTATTTGGGTAAGGTACGATCCCGGAACCTTCAGAATACAAGGCTAGGTACCACTACACCACTAAAGATGGAGGCTGAGCATTTTGTTCGATGATAAACTCAAGCCTAGACGATGAGTGAAAGGGAAGTCAGTTTTAGAGATTGTACATCCGGTTCGTTTATCATGGAAACTCAGTTTGATGCTGAGACGGCGACACTTAATACGATGTGGTGATTTTTAAATTTGTGCCCGTCTCAAGCCTTTCGTTTGGCTGGACATCAATTTTGTGCACCCGAACATGAAGGGAGCTTCTTCCGCCTTACCTTTCGCTCCTGAAGTGACAGTAATTTATCTTTCCCGTCCAAAGGGTGTCACACACTTCCAACATTCCCACGAAACCCTCATGAGTAATGATGAAGCAGTGATGCAGTAGTTCGCAAAACTATGCAGCGACAAAGCAGACGATGAAAGCCAGAAAAATCTGAGACAACCTATTTGTCGTGATAGTAGCCATGTTGTGTAAAACCGTCCCTGGTAATTCGATTTTAAAAATTATGTGTAAGAAGTTTGTTTGGAGCCGGGACAACTCCGTCAGTAAAGTAAATGCTTATAGTCTAGACGAATGTGTTTCGACCTCCGGTTGGGATAGTTATTTCCATCTTCCCAGTGGCGTTCGAATCGACTCTAGAACCAATCTAGCTTCCAACTTACGGGTAACGAGGTATAGCGGCCGGAGATCAAAAACTACTGTTCATCTTAAACTCGTACCAGGGCTGGGTAATTCACGAATTTTTTTATTCCAGTGACTTATGAAGATAGCTGTTATCTTTATATTCTTCGCCATGAGAATCTAATATCTCACAGCTTCACAATTGTACAGAATCCATTTTCTTGATAGGGACATATTTTGTTTTGGTTTGTGAATGTGGTCAATGTTTCTTGTGAAAGTAATGGTTGAGTCTCTCAGAAATGTCCCATACTTTCAGCAATAAAACCAATATTTATGCACCGATGGTGATAGAATATTTGAGGTTCTTACCTCAGGCCTTGTGAAACTGTATTCCGTCATATGAAGTGCTGATAGTGGTCGTCCCCTCCGTGATGCGCAATTGAACTGGCGAATACATGGATCTCGCGAATGTTTTTTTGAGGATTCAGATGTGTAGGCCTCTCCCTACAGTAGGACCCACATGAAACAATCTTTTCATATTACATCTGATGACTATGTCGACCAGAGACAGCTCGGTCTCAGTAAACTTTGGGTAATCGCGTTCAGTTCAGTATGAAAAGCTGGAGACTGCCATTTTCAGTACCATGCGTGATGGGATACAGTTTCCCCAAAGACTGAGGCCTGTTGCCACTACAGAGATCACTCTCTTTATTTCTTCCGTGTCAGGGTATATTCCACATTTCCTTTAATTTATCAAGCCTGTCACTTAGGTAACTGTTGCTCGTTGCGTGAACTTCTAGGACATACACCCCTTTTGCCCTGGAACTGGCGATTTCTACTGTATTATACAAGCAAATTGTCATTGTGACGTCTTAATTCCAATCGATGACAGACCTGAAATCGCATATTTCATTCCCTATAAACCTGATACGCGGTGTCCGAATTTATAACTTGTGTTGGGCAAGGCCGTGGTCTAGGCAACACGGAGTTTTCCTCCGTGGCATCCCAACAATTACTCCATTCTCACACTGAAGAAGGCAATGGCAAACCACTTCTGGATCATCTGCCAAGAACGTATATGAACAGGTCCCAGTCCGAGAAAAAGATGGAAGGATCCTGTTCTTATGGACCTGTCCTCAGACAGAACACTAAATAAAATAATAAATAATAATAATGCCATTAACAGCAGCAACTCATGTACTCCGCGGTTCTTATAACAATAGGCCACTGCAAATTCATTCACACTACGTACTATATGGAATTTGCGTTTGAAAGTTACACCGTCCTACCTTGAATCACTTAGAGCTGTAATACTAACTGCTCATGCATCATGCAGTCTCTTCACAGTGACATTCAGGAATGAACACCTTTGTTCGTTTCATGCACGTATATTGGGAAATTCCATGTCGGTGTGTGTTGAGGGTTATTCATATTCAGGCGCCTGCAAACAAACAAAACGATTTCATGCACCCCAGACAAAAGTAGGCCACTCACTTACCGCTTAATGTTCGTTCATGACAGTACTGTTTGTTTTTAATTTGATCTTCCTTGCTTCGAGTTTCATGGCGGAGATACAAGGTAAAGATGTCACCGTGATTAAGGATCATACCATAAATACGTAAGAAGATGTGGAGGTTTAACTCCACGTCTATTAAAATCCAAAAAGATTACGCCAAATAAATCTGCTGCTACGAAGTCCTTATGACAGATCGACTTGGCATCGCTTATCTGCCCATAACGCGCAGTTACCAACTTCAGACATACTTAGACGAGGTTACGTTGCTTTGACAATTTAAAAGAAATACACACACTGTTGCCACATCATCAAAAGGAGGATTCCTTTCACAGCAGACCAGTCCAAAGTTCATAAAGCAGTCGTTATTCATACCATACTTATGGGTTGTAGAAATTAGACTTGAGTCTTGCGTATATGCATATGGAACGGGAGGCAGTTAAGTTTAAATGCCCGCGTGTATACACATAAAACTACGTCTGAGGGTTAATAAGTTTAAAGAATTTTTCCAGCTTGAGTACTAGAGACAGATTGACTATGTGGTTACACCCCTCCCCTGCACAGACCTAATTTTTCTCGATAAAGATAATCGCATTTTTCCTGGTTCGGGCTACACTGCTTTATCCCCGGGCAAATACTAAACATTGCCTATGGGATAGGAGGCTGGGAGTGTCTAATAGCCGACGTGGACGTCGTGGTGAAGTGAAGAACTCTTGCCCCTGTCAGGAATCGTGGCAAAGCTTAATCACAGAGACAAATTTACCATCACCGAATCACAGCGAGTGCTTATCATTCAATGGGATTGTTTAAAAATTAACGAAGTTAGTACATCACTGGGTTGTATTTGAAATAATCCAAAGATTTATTTTTAACAGTATTTTATTTTTATTACTTTGTAATTGTTTAATATTTTTCCCGATAGGTTGCAACAATATGAACAAACAAATACGACGTCTCGAGTCTAAGATGATTTGGATAATTTGTATTTCATTTTACCTTGTACTTCATTTTTGTCAGGACAATGACAATTGTGTATGTGGACTGGGATTACCACATTGGAACAAAGGACCAACAGAGCTATACTGTTGCACAAAAATCCAAAGGACAGCTTAGGATCAAGTAAGCTGGGATGTAGTACGTTAAAGAGCAAAGCATGAGGGGTGAGGTAAGGTTGAACCAATCAATCACTCAATCAATAACACTTCATGATCAGGGCATTCAGATGTCGTCCTTACACTCACAAGAGTGAATTTTCATTGTTACATCAACGTGTGAAAAGAAATCACATTCAATGCATTAAATCTGATAATAACGTATTGTATAATATTAAGCAATTTGAAAATCGAGCAAATATTTAAAAAAAATCTGTTCAAGGATTTTAAATAATAATGTATCGTCTGTATCTGGAGATAAAAATTTATTATTTTTAAAAATGTAATGTATAAGTGGCACTGGTTATAAAGACGATACAGTTTTAAAAGAAACAAAAGTTTTATTATCTATAAGAAAATTTCATGAGTTTCCGAGTAAAGACACTGTAAGTACAATTTCCTAATTTTTTTAAGATAAAATCGGCCTGAACAATTTTTTTAGTAATTTCGGTGTTTCTTAGTCGTTAGTTTTATAAACCGGAAGCTCCGACCTAAGTCACAGCGCAGATTGCGTGCCATATGGAAAAGTAATGTTTCGACTTCGCGTCTCAAGTGAATCGGGCAGGTTGTCGCATTAGCAAGGCGCTGGGACGCTTGAGAGTTGATCTTAATTCCATGGAAACCTCGGGATTCGACAAAAATATGTAAATAAAAATTCTGTCGAACAGAAATCAACAAAACGCCTGCTAATAAATTTGAAGCAGACGAAGCCAACCATTTCCGAGTTACATATAATCGAATATACATGCATACAAACATACGTACTTATCTATATATGCTTGATTTTCATAAAAATATGTGTACTGGTTAACAAATTATTTGCAAAAATTTATTATTATTACTCTTGCTATTACCTAAGTAATGTCTCATTAACTTTTCTGAAAAATGAAGACAAGTCTGTCTGTCCGTCTCTCAGATTAATCAAGAAACGTGCCAACATGAAGTGTTATATATTGATTAGACTTACGTATTAGGCAAAACATTATAACGGTGGACTGAAAAAGTTAACAAAAGGATTACTAACTTCCATGATTTTAAGAAAGGAACAGCAAGATATATACACTTATAAACAATCCGATAAAAACACAACGTGATAAACAGTAAGTCAAATTTTGGTTTAAAATTGTAGACAATAATATAAATTACAAAACGTAACAATCAACACAAACTTAACTTTTGCTAATAGTAACAATTCATTCCAAACGCTGGTTTACATATATATATATATATATATATGAGTGAGAAAAATATTACGTCAAAACAAGTCAACGAAAGACACATCGCCCATTATTTAAATTTTCTGCCGCAGTGACAAGAGGTACAAATTCTGTAAAACAGTTATGGGAACATAAAAATATAAAATTTACCTTTTAGTGACTTATTCAGAGTAATGCTTCCCCCTAAACATCTGAAGTCTTGAAATCTGACGTCATTACAGAACCATCTTGAATGCATGCAGGAACGAACAGAGGGTGTCTGGTTTTCTGTGAGACTCACGTTATTGGCATAACTTTCGACCATGGATAACCTGGAACTAACGCAAAGCTGTACTTGATTTAACCATCTGAAGAAGAATTTAATAAAAATATCAGATAATAATTCAGTCGATGCCTCAGCCAATAACCATTACGAGGATCAAATTTTATGGTTGTTTATAGGAAGTAATCGCTTTTTACTCTGAAAATCATATGAAAACGTTGTATAGAC